CCTAAGTTATAGACTTCCTTTGTCCAGTTTCAGGTTTTAATTATTCTTTAACCCTTTCACATTTCAGCAGGCCATTACACTCTAACAACCCAAAATCCAGTTGGGGAGACAAAATGTCACAACAGAATAACTAAGTGGAAGGTCAGTGGCCTTTTGATTGAATATCAGTGCCATGTATAGGAATTCAGACCAAGAGAGACCATTTTATCTGAAGGGTTTTGTGGAGGAGGTAAAATTTTAGTCATGAAATTTATACTTATTAATCGCCTCTTTTCATTGAGCATGTCTAAGAATTTTGAATATGAAATTTTTAAGACCTATATTAGTTCAATTAAGGATGGAATAGAAGTGACACATGGTGTTCCCACAGGTCAGTAAGATTGGTGGAAGAATCAAAACTCCTATTGACTTATAACTGCCAATCCTTTGACTAAATAACTGACATAATTATTTTATATTTACTGAGTTCTGTTGATGCTAAAACCTCGGGAGAAAAACAGATTATTTTCTTCTGAGGAAGATTTAGAACAAAGCCAAAACCTTTCTTTGTGACACTGGGAATATAATTACATACACCTGGAGCTTTTCCACCTCTGCTTCATCCAGCTCTTCCTGGAGAACAGTCAAAGGCATTTTAAGACACACAGCAGTGTCTCTCTTTCCACAGTTGGGAATTAAAATCAGATATTTCTCTCCATTCCTCACAGGAACTGTCCCTGTGTGAAGCTGCCAAAAGCCATGCTCTTCAGATGTTGGAAAGAAATATGCAGAAGAGTAACATTTCAATTACATGAGATTTCAAAATGTGTTGGGCATAAGGCATGGGAATTTTAAGAATGTAGAGCAGTAAAAGAATTTGAAAAAACAACGATGACTTGCCTGATAGGGAATGCCTATCAAGTGAATTCTCTCTTACCCCTAAAACAAAGATTGCAGGCCATGATCTCAGTGGTATCTTAGTTCTTATCTGTACACTTTTATCTTCCTTTTTTTTCTTAGCTCTAATAAAAGAAGAAACAACAACAACAACAACAACAACAACAACAACAATAATAATAATAATAATAAAGAACACCTCCTAACCTCAGGAAATAACTCAGGTTATTCAGATAGATGTAATACCTTATTAAGCACTTTTCTTGAAACAATCGATAATAGGAGTATCTCCCCACCTTATCAGTGACTCATATTTCTTTCCTGTAGTATTACTGGCAGACACCAGAGGCATGAGTGTGCCCAGAATTCACCAGGTTTAGCACAGGCTAAGCCACTGTGAGAAGCCTGATTTAGGGGGTATGGCTGTTTCTAACTAGAATTTGCTCTTCCCAGAGCTTTGCACTTTAAATATTGTGGTAAGGGATTTCTCAGATGCACAGTAAGATGTTTCCAGTTGAGAGAGAAAATGTTAACTAAATCAGTGAAATAGGAGGTTGTGGTACTTGCTCAATAGTTTCTTTGCGGCTCAGAGTCAATAGTGACCAGATTCTCAGCTTTTACTTCCTGACAGTGAGACTACCGATTTCAAAATACAGCTTCATAAAGCATTTGTGCAGACACAATATGGTGTGTATCTTCTTTTTAAATTGCTTATTTCTCCTTACTCATCCTCTTTTGGATATTGATATATCTGCTTTAAAGAACTATAAGTAAAAAAACAACCCTCCCCATGAATTAGCCATAAAAGTCACATTTTTTTTTTTTTCCTGGATGGGAAAGATGTCTTTCCCACAGATTTTCCTCTGGTTTACAAATGACAAAGAACTTGCTCAGCATAAATGTCTTTGGGTAGGCTGGTCACATTCAGGGATGTCAGAGACAGGAAAAGATTGCTGTTTCTGCTCTGAAATATTTTGTATTTTGATTCTGCATCAGCTATGCAGCTATTCTTTTAACATGAAAATTATTGTTTTATTGTTCATAGTTTTGTCCCCACTCTGACCTAATAACGCTTCCAGATTTTCCAGCAAAATACATTTGCATAGCACACATTTTGTTGTGGACTTGAGAGAGGTTCCAAAGCCATTTAGTGCTGATAACATAGATAAATGGCTGTCACCTGGTGTTTGTGAAAATTTCATTTCTCTCCTTGATAAAGGCTAGATGAATTTAGGCATTTAGAGATGATATCATCATATTACACCATTCTGTACTTTTAGATCAATTGGTAATTTAACAATGTTCCTTCTCCCTAGAAGATACCCTGTCTCCCCAAAAAATAAGTTCACTGCCAACTTTCCCATCTTTCCGAGCATATTGAGTGAGGGGGGATTCTATAAACCACAGAACAGTTTATAGGCCCTGATATATCCAAAGACTTTTAGAAGCTGATAGTTAATATTGGCATTATTTCTTTTAGTGGTCTGAAATAGAGGTGATTAACCGAAGGCCATGAAGCTGATGACTCAGGGGATCCTCGAATTTGTGATGTCAGTAGTTGCACTGGACATGGTGCTCTAATCCTCCTAGATACTCACAGATATGGTACATTTGAGTCTATGGCAGAAGTTAGAATCCGTATATTAGCTTCAGGTTAACAGAAGACAAAAAAACTGTCCCTCAGGCTGCTGCTGAGCAACTTTGGCTCATCCCAAGGGCAGAAGCAGCCGGCTGGCTTAGGCACGCCATTTGGCACACACACCATGGGGACACTGCAGAGCAGCATAGCCTATAATTCCCAAAGTTAGAGTCCAAGAGGGAGATGGGAAATAAATAGACTTCACTGAAGTGTATTCTAACCAGTCACAGCTCCCTTTGGAAGAAACCAGCTCAAAATATCCCTGGGAGTTACTGAAGTTAAAAGAGCCCAGCAATTTCCCCACAAGTAAAACAGAGAGGAAAGGTAAAATTTGGGTGAAATGCTTGTAACATGGCCAAGGTCATGGCGCAAACAGTCAGTTATCTGGAGGAAAGTTTTATAAGTGTGGTCTGTGTGTAAATGGGGGATTTAAGGTTTAGTTTTAAAAGAAAAATTATTCCCAGTGGTGACCATCTCATGAGTCAGAAATGAGAGTTGCCAAGCAACAAGAGAAACAAAGGTAAGTTCCAAGAAGTTCATTAAGAGTCACAGCTGCAAGGCTTTGCTCGAATGTCCTCCACCCTCATGGAGGAGACATATTCAGTCAGACTTAATCTCTCTACTCTGTCTCTGCACCACCCCTTGGGCTCCTACAGCACTTTGTTTACACTGTTAGTTTTAGCATGGAATATATTTTGCCTTGTACCATAGCATTTAGTATGTTTATGTTTCCCAATTAGATCACTGGCTCCTTTAAGGCAGGACCCATGTCTTATTTGTTTTTTTACTAATTTTTTTGGCAGAAACAGTATTTTCATATACATAATAGTTTTACAATAAATTGAATGTTAACTGCATATAAATTAGCCCTGCCTGTTGTTCCTTTAAGGCCTATCTCAAATGTTCCCACTTTCAAGAAGTCTTTTCTTATTTCTGATGTTTTCATTTCTCTCTGAATCCCTACAGACTTCCTTGTACTTCTTCTAGAACACCTATTTTGCCTTGTTTTATAGTCATTCGAGTTTGGCCTTTACTGTGTACTCCTTCAGAAGAGCAACCATTTCTGTCTTGGCTCTAACTTGGGCACAAATTTATTCATTTATTCATTTTTTCATTCGTTCCATGAATGGAACAGCATTAACTATATGGATTCTGTTCTAGGACTGGCATTATAAAGCAAATAAAATAGATATGGCTTTTATTCTTAAAATCTCAAGAGGACTTCTGACAAGTAACTAGGAAATTAAAACTCAATGTTTTGATGCCATATAGAGACCATATGATCATGCATGACCTGGTTCAGAGGATCACAGAAGACTTCTATGAGGAAGTGAGACTCATGCTAAGACTTAAAGAATGAATGCATTTATCATCTCAGCTGATGCACTTTGAGAATGAAACTGTAAACTCATAATAACTACGCACTGAGAAAAGGCCAGGAGAGGGAGGGAGACTGGTTTATTTAAGAAGCTGAAAGCAGTTGAGAAGTTCAAACTGGCTCAAATGAAGAATAACTCAAATTTACATCATAGTTTTCTCTCTAGATAACTGAAATCCACAGGGACAAGACACAAAAAGGGGAAGCCTAAATTCACATTATCACTAGACTAGCAAAGAATTGATGTATTCTGCTTCCCAGATCAGTTCTCTTTCTACTAAGTATTTCTTTCCATTTCTGCATTTCTCTCTAAGTCATTACCATATTTCTACAGGCTAATTAAACAGTGTTCTCTCTGATTGTTCATCCTTCAGAGAATTACTTAAGCCCAAGAATCACATGTGGAATGTTGCCACAAGTAAGTTGGCAAGTAAGTAAGTAAATATGTGAGGAACAATATCACTGTCTATAAGAACACAGGCCTGAATGTGCCACGGACAAAGCTGGTCAGGGAATCAGTGTTCACAGGGCTTTTGTTTTGCCCATCTACAAAGTTTCAGTGGGAAAGGAGGAAACAAGATTATAAGCAGAGTGGCCGTATAATTTATCATCTCAGCTGATGCACTTTGAGAATGAAACTGTAAACTCATAATAACTATTCACTGAGAAAACAGGTGCGAACTGGGTCTACTCAGATAAATTAGGACATACAATCATTCTATCTGTGACCAAGACATTTCACAGATTTAAAAATCTTAATGTCAGGGTTTCTCCTCTTTTGCCTTTATTCTAGATCACATTTTACAGAAATACTCTGAAAGTAGTTGATGTTCAAAGAATATTAACTATGTCCTGGAAAAGATGAGAACCATGTCTCCTTCCTTCATTCCTAGCAAACTGCATCCTTTATTGCTAATTACAAAATCTCTAAATATTAAACAACTGTACATGAGCATAAAGTAATTATATTATTA